GTAAAGACCCGAAAGGGTATACGAGAAGAAAAATTTAGTGAAAAATTTGAATATTTGAATTGATGATACGTAAGTACTCAAAAAATTTCATGAGTGATATTATCCAATTACAGGCTACAATATTTAACCGTAATAAAATATTACAAATTTGGCTATCCCTGCTACAAAATCAACAATTCTTGAACGTTCCATAATTTTTATGAAGCTGGTGAGTTATTTGTACGTTCCGTTCCGTAAAATTTCTCAATCGTTGGGGAAAAATTACGCAACGACTTGTTGTCCTCACAGCGGTGAGTCATCAGACGGGTGGTTAATTTTTCCGGAACAAACCGTAGAATTTACGTGGCGATTCGTACAATTTCAGTTCCGACTCACACTTTTTATTGAATTTTACTTCGCTCGCCGATTACGTTTCGAAACGTAATTTTTCCGTTTTTTTTCTGGTAATTTTTATTGAATTTTTTTCTCCGTGCAATTTCTCAACTTAAATTAAAGCTGCGGATTTCTGCAACACAGAAATAATTTTTCCAAAAATGTTTCGTACGTAAGAGAAATTAATACTGTTTGGATTTTCAGTGCCGTACCAAAACCAGATTTCATCATATATAAAATTATTGTGGGTTTCTCAGCTATATGGAATGAAGATGAACATTAAATTTAGGGCAGACCAGAAGAGAAACTAATAGGAAATTCACCCAGCTTTCTGTTGGAATTCTACCAAAAATTTCGATGATATTCATAAAATACTTGATAGCATAACTACTTTGTGAAATATTCTATGAATATTACCATTACTCCTGATACATCAAAATATTTGATTAAACAAATCTCGCAACTCCCTAACATTTCAAGTGAATCCCCCCAACATATAGAACCACATTCATGCTTGCAACCACAGGCGATGGTATCATAAATCTGATGGTTTCATTAATCCACCTGGGCCAACGGCATGCACTTCGAAATATATCCCTTCTCCCCCTCTTCACTCGAACACATTGCCCGCCAGGCATACAGCGTCTCTGGCATACACACCAGCGTCAACCAATCGTGGAGTATACAATCGAGGGAAGGTACAATTTGTGGTTAACACTGGAAATTCTCTACCTCCTCGTACCGTGTCCACACGCATGACCGTCATAATTCCCCATACAGAATTTTACAACCCGCGGAAAAGCACACGCGATCCCCGTAACTTCCATTAACTCTCGTCACAATCAACATTTAACATGTGGAATGTGTTTCTCATGACGTCTCCTGACGTTTGAAGGGAAAAATCTTGTCTTCGGAACGTTGAAAAAAAAAAAATGAAAAGAACGAGGGAAAAATTCGGAGAAACATGAATATCGAAGAGAAACACGAACCATTTGTCCGCCTGTGTGTCGTCTCCCTGTCGTTATCTCGGTATTGAAATATGTCCGAACAGGTATATGAGGTTTCAATCGATCCGAATGATCTGTCGTGCTCTTGGCACTAAAAATAAAAAAAAATAACTGGTAGAAAATAAAACGTGAAAACAAAACATTGTAACTCCCCCGGATCGTTAAAAAATAGGCACGGTCCTGTTTTTCTGGTCGTGAGTGACTTTGTGTGGGTTCGCCAGCGATGGTTTTACGACGTTTCAGTTATCTAGCGTGTTAATCTGCCCGTCAATTAGCATTCTCGCTCGTGTATTTCGGATCAAAGAGCGAGAATTTCTTCGTGCGCCAAAGGGGCATATCCCGTGTGTCATAATTTAGGTGAGAATTTCTTTGTGGAGTTGTGACAAATGAATCTAGAGGTAATCAGGGTAGATTTATGATGGGAATAGAGTAATTTCAAGTACATATTTTCTCATTAGTTTTTACTTAAATGACGGTGATTAGTACGACATTCGTCGAAACATTTTCATTGAAGCATTTGGGGTAATTTTATTACCAAATTGATTACATCCAAAGAATTTGATTTAAGAAGAATGTAAAAGTGTAAACTTTGGGGGGAATTCTCAGTCAAGTTGATGAAATTAATGTTTCGTAAACTCAATCTTTTTCTAATTGGCGAGATATATGGACTTGTCACATTCAAGTTGAACTAGATTCATTTCATTTGAAAGTATTTTTCGAGTGTTAAAATTTGGATTCCGCTTTTATTTTCTCAACTCATTTCGAATATTATTTGAGCGATTAATTCTTCTGATTAGGATTGATTAATCGAATAATCATGTTCATGATCGTTTTCTTCATATGACATTTTCAGTGAAGCATTTGTAGCAATTTTATTATGGAATTGATTACAACCAAAGAACTCAAATGAAGAAGAACGTAAAAGTAAACTGAGGGTGGAATTCTCAGTCAAGTTGATGAAATTGATGTTTCGGGAACTCAACTTTTTTCTACTAGTCGAGATATATAGACTTGTCACATTCAAGTTGAACTATATTTATTTCATTTCAAAGTATTTGTCGAGAGTTAAAAATTAGATTCCGCTTTTATTTTCTCAATTCATTCAGAATATTATTTGAGCTGTTGACTCTTTTGATTACGATTGATTAATCGAATAATCAGGTTCGTGCTTAAATTTTTTTGACAGAACATTCTCAAGTCTGCGATATTTTATAGATGATTTGATAAAACATCAATCAATCTAGAGTCTGAGACTCAAATTGAAGGTATCTCCGTTCGATAATCTTTTTCGTTTCAAAAAATGGATTCCTTGAAGTTAATCAATTGTCCCTTCTCAATAGCCAAGAATTTTCTGCCCAACAATTTTTCTTTCTCATGATAATGATCAACATTCCCGCGCATGGGAACATTTTCATTATTTCGGGACTCGATAACGGGGTCATGTTCGTTAATTCAACTTCCTCTCTAAAAATATCCGCTTAATGGAAGAATATCATTGATTATCACCCGCCAATTAGCATTAACAAGGATGCAAAGATAAGACAGATGGGGTTGAAGTTGTACTGACTTAATTAAATAAAGGATGAAACCAGTGGGTCTGGTAAACTTTGGGAGATCGATACAGCATGCAAATCACCCGGTGGAGAGTGAAATTGTGAATGGGGTTGGGCATATTGAGTGAGTAGAGAAGGGCTGTCATGCCCGCACTCAATTATTCATAATCCCAGTTAATGACGCATTAAGCATTAATGAAACTCCCAATTTTGTTGGTCGTTCCTTAAAAAACAGAAAGATTCATCTTTAATTACTTTTCATTCAGGAAACATCAGGTTAATGCGATGGGATACATTACGTACATTTCCAAGTCGCGTTAGCACAGCGAGAATTTAATTATTCCTGTCCCTTTGCCACACTCATCGGCATATTAATCGTATGTTAATTCAGGAGCGTATCGTTAATACCTCGGGGCTAGTGTGTATTTTATTAAATGCTTCTCTCACTCGGCTTTCAGTGCCACTGATTATGCTCACATATTATACAACTTTTTTTTTGTTTTTGCTAAAAGGGAGGTGCAAGAGTCGACAAACATGTTCGTTGATTCTCACTTGTACCTCTGTACTACAGTGGCGACGAAGCTTTCAGACATTTATGGTAATCAGTGGCACATCTTGCCGGATTGCATACCTCCGGGCCACAATGTGGTATGTCATTTTGTCGTGTGAGTACTGTATACAAATATAGTGAATTTTTCTTACTGACGCGTTCTTGATCTCGTAATTTAATATGTGTCACGGATTAAATGACTCGTAGTTTATTTAGAGGCTGGAACCATGACTCCCTTTTGGGTTTGTGACTAATGATTTGGTAGCGAAGTTGTTAAAGAACTACACAAGATTATCTGCAAAAGACCATTCATGACATTTTGTCCCAACATGAGGGCTGACTTACGAAGTTATCTTGAACACGAGTTCTGCTAATGCAAAACGCCATAAGACGTTGGGAAGGCAATTCAACAATTGTAGAATAGAACTGGCAAAAATCAGATGACAATCGGTTGGCCTTAGCGATCTTCAGCGATTTTATAGAATTTTATATAACCTCTCACTTGACATGTACACTGTTAGAAATTTCTTGAAATTTCAGTCACAGCGTCATCTGAATTTTCGATGTTGTGAGGTTGAATTCAATTTCAAATGAAAGCGTTTATTGAATTTCGGATTCATCTTGAAAATTCAAGAAAATTGGGTTTTTCATGTTAAACAATCATTGATTTTTCAATGAAAGCTTGAATTGCCGAACTTATCGTGAAAATTGAACATCACATATAATTCAATTTTCAAGGTTTTTCAGTGTCGTATGAACCTGAAAATTGAGAATGACTTGAATATTCAAGAAATTAACTGATTCGTCAATGAAGAAATAAACGAAAATGTCTTGTAACTTTGGCGTTGCTAAAAATTTCAAGCTTTTTCTCTTCAAATTTCTAGAGTAATATTCTAACAATGTATTCCTGTATACAACGATATTCTCATTTTTACATTTTATTAGTTAGGAAAACAGACATTTCCGGTTTTAATGTTAGATTTATTAGTACATTAGAGTACAAGGGCACAAATTTTGTTTTCGACGAATGTGAAGTTTACAGGCCGAGCCGAAGGCGAGGCGACGTATTCACATTCGTTTAAAACGAAGTTTATGCCCGAGTGGTCTATACTATTTTATGCCACATCGTATAGAAGTCAAGTTTGAAGCACGCTGCGCGAAGCGAGCTCTTCAGCAATTTTATAGAATTTTATATAACTTCTCACTTGACATGAATTTTTGTATACAACCATGTTTTCGAATGTAATCTGTAGGTGTCAACATTTTTACATTCTATTAGTTAGAAAAACAGTGGTTTCCGGATTTAATGTGTTTGATTTGTATTGATTTAGAAAATTGGAATAATAAAAACGGCCCTGATGAGGTCTTCCCTGGAAGACGAAACGTTGAGCCATCGCAAAGAATTCTTCAACTTCCACTTCATATCTACTTCTACAAAATTGCTGAAGACCGCTTAGGCCAACCGAACGTCATCAGATTTTTTAACTAATTACAACAAACATAGATTAGATAACTTACAGTTTTTCGGCGAGCACAGTCAAATCCCTCGGCACCTGAGTGAGTTCTCTCTCCGAGCAGTCAAGCTCCTGTCCCTGGCAGGAGCACGCCCACGGGCATCTGCCTCCATTGAGATCCTCCATAGTACCAGCATTATCAAAGCCAAAACCCCCCAAATCAGTGCTGTGCGAAGCACCACCAAGTACAGATAGTACAAGTAGCAGTCCCCAGGCGCAAACCACCGAACCACAACTGACGCCCAACAGGCGCATCGACCACGTTGGTGTCATGGCACGTGCCATAGCGAGTAGCTTCTCGTTTATACTCTTGACCTTCTCGTTAGATCCCTCGAGTATTTCCACGAATTTACGGGAGCGTTTGTTGCCGCTGACGTTTGTAACACGAACAATATTCTCGGATGGAATGATCACTCTGGTGCAAACACCCAATTGTCCGTTAAACTGTTGGACACTGGTACGACTGATCACTGCTTCTAGGTTTTGTTCACTGTGCTGAAGACGATTGATTGCTCGATGTCCTGATGGATCAATAACTCGTGGATTAACACTTATGTTTAATGTTGGTCTTTTGTTGTCTTTGAGATTGTTAGCAGTACTGCAAGCCAGGGCAACAGCATTGGCAACGATTGCCGTAGATGCTGGTGGTTCTACAGCATGTGACTGGCCCGTTGGGGGGCCAAGCACAGGGCCCCCTTCGCGGCCGTTAGACCCTGCCTCGCCTACACCGGTGTCCACCACTAACCCCAGTACCCGATCCTGCTCATCCCGTTGGGGCAAGGCCGGTGACTTTATCTTGATGCTGTTCAATGTCCGATTTTATAAACGTACCCTATTTACAGGGTACGTATCCACTTGTTCCAAGGAGAAGTTTAATTGGTGATTTTTTTACTGAAATACCACCTAAGGTGGAGGGGGAATGGGGGTTATTGATTGTGGAATTAAAGTTTATGAGGCTGGGGGTTATTGAGGTTTGCGTTTTTTCGGCGGGGTTTACATTGATGGAGGCGCTACTCCGCTCTGCTTGATGAGGATTTCGGAATGTGCGTAGGCATCACCTGCAATCATAAATAAAGAACTGAGGTGAATGGGTGTTATTAATTCTGGCAGGACTTGAGTGGTGAGAGAGATTAATTTTTTTGGGTTTGGGCAATTCATCAAGAAACGAATTGTCCAAAACCTTTTCATTTCCGGCTTTTTTAGAATAAGAGAAGGGAAAAATGTTGATGAAACTGAGGTGTCTTTTACTAATGCCGCTGTTGGTTTTTCATCCTCTATTAAAAACTTCATGATTGCATGATGCAAAACCACAAGTCAAGTTAAGTAAAGTTGTGGTTTTTACGAGTTGAGATCCGAGAGAAAGGAAGTAAAGAATCTTAAGAGCGATGACTCGGCGAGACTGACGAACGAGGTAAGTTAGATATCATCCTTGCAAATCCTTCTGGAAAGCGAGGGCGGTACGGTAAAATATTAAAATTTCAAAACAGTATTCTTGATTTGAAACACTTGACGATAGACGAGACAAAAAAAGGGAAAAATTGAGAGGTAAAGAATTGTGAGGAGTAGAGGGGGAGAACCACCCACAGTGTGTAGTTATAAAGTGGAGCTTCTGTGCAATATCGAAAAGTAGGAGAAAAATATGCTTCCGTGGCACAATCAAAGCTACGAATGCATTCCAAGCACGCTCGGCAGGAGTTTCGAGGCATATTGGAATTTTTCTTCGGTACATACAGCAGCCCGTACCCTTCCCTTCTCATTTTACAACCCGAGGTATCTGTACATCCTTTCCAGATGTTGTCTGACAAACGTGGTAGGAACAACTACGAGTTTTTATGAACGTTAGAATCTCAAGTGCAATGGTGGAGAGCATGTCTGATTTTTGCGTGATTTATTTTCTGATATCTTGTGCTTAATGGAATGCTCCATTTGAATCAAATGAATACCTTCAGCGGAGCATGCTGTCATCTATTACCCGGATTGAATCGCATTTTTATATTTGCGGTTTACTTAGTTACTGATATTTTCGGTTCTTCACCAAGCAATTTAGTAAATTATCACGTCTTATCAGTTGATGACTATTGGATCGTTTCTCGAGATTTATCCAACCTTGACTCGGACATTTTTTATCTGACGTCAGAAGTCTGAGAAAATTTATTCCAGGATATTCTGATTAAATTTGCATGTTCTGGAGCAGGGATGGCCATCAATATTAAATTTCTTCAGTACAGAAAAGATTTTCGCCTTATATTGATAAAGGTTTAACTATAGTCATCAAAAATTAAAAATAATATAATATGAATAATTTAAATTTCCTATTGATGATGAATTAAATATTTGATAATAGGGGAGGATGGGGCAAAACGGCCCCCCTTCAATCGTCAATATTTTCCGATTCAATAATCCGATTGGGATGAGTTAGAGCTCGTTTTGAAGAATGAAAAATTATCTTCAAAATGAAGTTGAAACTGGGAAATTTGCACAATGTCATTCACAAGTTATTGACAATTGAAGGGGGGCCGTTTTGCCCCACCCTCCCCTATGAAACTAATATAATTCTAATTTCGTAAAAGAGATTTTCGATTAATCAAATAATCGTCAATCTTCCCAACTAAATTATTAATTAATAAAATAATTCACAATTGATGATCACTTAAATAATTAAAAATTTAAGAGTGATGTTAACTAATTGACGGCTTTGAAATTTAACGGTAATTATGATTTATGAAAATGGCTATTCCCGTTCTGGAGACACAGTCAAGAATAGAAAGTCAATATTGATTGGACTACTCCTGCAACACGTCTGAAGAAACTTGAAAATTCATATTTCAGCCGAGTATTATCAAATTTAAGTCAGTTTCCTTCAGAAATTATTGAATGAGTAAATTCCATTAAGCAATCGTTGACATTCACTCCAGCTGATGAAAGCATGAGAGGAATGTCGACAGAAAATCATCCAGTCTTCCCCAAATAACCAAAAGATCATAATCAACTAAGTCTCCCAAACCCCAAGTCAACTTTCTTCCCAAAATTGACAAAAAATCACATTGACACATCTCACAACCATTCAAGCTGATCAAAACACCCTCCCTGAAAATGCAATAAATACAGACGTGTTATATAGTTCCATCCATACTCTCTGAGGATCGATAACTCGATTAGCAGTGGCTCGGTTGCCGTTGGCATACAGTTAAGGTGCCTCACGGGCGCAAGGAACCCCTCCGCCCCTTTTGCCAACTATCCCCAACCGTGAGATACTAAAGCGCTACAGCGTCAGTTACTGTGTGAGAAATACATACGCACGAAATATTCCTGGAGTGCTCTCGATCGGATAATATGTCTGCCCCTGTGATGTCGAACTCGAAGGCGCCTGGAAAGTGCAGAAGTGAGGGAGACGGAGAAACCGAGAAGCAAGCAAAAAGGAGAGAAGCGATATTAGCTGGATGCCTTGTCATTGGCCTCGGGGGTCTAGTCGTTGCATTAATTATGGACGCTGGCGAATATTAATTGAATCGAAGTGGCAACTTTTTTCTTTTCCTTGCCTCACTGATGAGTCTCGAGGGCCCTCAAAAGACCGTAGACAAGAGGAGGGGTTGAGAGGGTGACTCTCCCCTCAATAAGGAGGGGCGCACATATGTCAGAGGGGTTCGAAGCCAAAGACGGAGAAATCGAATTTCAGCTGAGGGCCAGTGCTCTTCTCTTGGCCAAAGTCACTTGAAGGCTACTCCCGGTTACTCTGGCCACCACCCTGGAATATAGTGGCTAGTGGGAGGGGAGAAGTTCAAAGGGAAACGCTGGATTCACTGGAAAACCTAATTTGTGAAAAAAAAAAAGTTCAACGTCCAGGGAATTGTCTTCAGAGGAATCCGCCCGAGTTTCTTCCTCCAACGATTGGATGAGAAAAAAATGAGAGCTCGAGGTTCTGGTTCAGTTGAAACTAAGTGACACGAAAAGGGATGATCCTGGGACTGGTGAGAAAAAAAAGGAGAATTTTTCTTGTAGTTCATTTCAACTGCTGGGTTCAATTTCCTTTGCCTTTCGGGTGAATTTTTTGATGGATTGATTCGTCAAAGAGGGAGCTCAGATGGGAATTACCTATATTCTCGGAAAATGAGAATCATGATCCTGGATGCGCTTCCCTCAGCCTTAACGCCTTGATTTTGGAGCCCGTGTATAACCTTGGGTCAACATTGATTGTCTTATAATTAGTCATGGCCAGATGAATCTTTGGGATGTCTTTATAGTCAAGCTTGGACCAAACTTGCCCCAGCATCAGGATCGATACTTTTAAATTAATTTCTTACTCCCAGGTAGGAATTGACGATAGAAACGACTCATCAAGCCCTGGAGCAACGCTTGGAAATGCTCAACCTTGGATAAGCCCTCCTTCAGCCCTAAAATGATAACCTCGTTTTAGACTTAGTCCATAAGGCTTGAACAATGCTTGGCGCCAAGGCTTGGTCCAAGCCTTGAATTACAGCTGTGTGAACTTAGAGTCGAAGTTTGATAAATCGATTGTCTTTCTTATAGTATCGATTGTACTCAGTGAGTACCTGAATGTACTACATTCATTTTCATTTGTACCCCGCACCCCTAGACGTAAGAGGTGCGGGAAAAATCATGCAGCGTCGGAAATGAAGGTACGGAAAAAATTTTCATGAGCAAGGATTCAGCATGGATAGTACTTGTATGTACTATATTTTTCCATTTCATTTATCAACCCCTTCAATACTTTACCCGCTTCTAAAATCTGAAATGTATGAAGGACGTCAGGAAAACATACAGATAACTTCTAAATCGTTAGTACTCGTTTGTACCAACGAAAATTATTTATTATTATTATTATTATTATTATTATTATTATTCTCATCAAATCACCTGATTCCATTTTTATCAACCGTAAAATCATCGTAATGGATTCCATATGTAGTTCGTGAAGTTTTGATGTGGATACAAACGTCTGAACTTCCGTACTTCCACTCCCATCGCAGTACAAATGGAACAATTTACTGTACATGATAATGAGACCAAGTACAAACCATTCAGAGCTTCAAAAACAGTCGTAGATTATTCAGAAAAATGGTACAAACGTTTTTCTGAATTTTATTGGTGTTTAGTGACGAGTAGGTGTTGGTACAAATCTCCAAAAGTACGGCAAGATTTTTTGGCGATTTCATTATCGCGATTATCTCGGAAACTATGAGAATAGAGTCTTAAAACCTATGCCATTCGATTCCTGAGGAAATTTGGGTTCCCTATAGACAGATGGACGGCTCAGAATTGCGTTTTTCCACT